TCCTTGTCCACCCCCATTTCCTTCTACCCTCTTCCCTGTCCTCTTCCTCCCTGACCACATTAGATTAGTAGTATACTTTTTGTATATAATTATGTCTATAGTTATCAATATAATATTTTATGCTCAAATATCAGCTTTGTATGAACTTCTAAGGTGGCTTAAGGTCTGACTTCATAAAATATTGATAGAAAGTGGTTACTCCAGTAGGAATCCAGTAGGAATCCCATCTCTGAAACATTGTATTCACTTTGTTTAAGTTCAATTGGAGTCCAGTAGGAGTCCAGTAGGAGGGGAATGTGAAAATGCTTTTTTGGAAAGAATGTTGAAATCCAGTAGGAATAGGTGGAGGAGTGATAAGTATTGCAAACCCTGACAGAATTACTTAAATTTTTGATCAGTCTAAAGAAAATTAAATCATCTATCTACATATCAATTTATGTGAGGTAATATTTAGGCAATCTTACACAATAAATTTTACAACAAAAGACCAGTCGCAACTGGTCTGGACTGTTTTTTTTTGCATTGTGGACCAATTAGGACCAGTCTAAAAGGGTCTGGTTGTGGTCCCTTAATATTTGGATCAGTCTAGACCGGTTGCAGTTGCCAGTTGCCTTGTTTTGAGGTAAAAAAACAGACTAGACTGGACTTTAAAACACTATTTGTCTGCAAGTTACCTTTGCTGCAACCCTCAGGTGCACAAGAGCTTCCTCTTAGGACAGATCCTCATAGTTGCTAATGCTGAATTAGTATATCCTATGCAGAGCCTACACTAGTCTATGCCAAGACCTATGCTACCTAACCCATGCTGAACTTTCTGTTCTTTGGACTTCCATCCACATTCACACTTGCCTTGGTGGTTCTCAATCTTCTCAGACTTAACTTGGACCTCATACTTCTATCTACTGGTGGTATATCATGCTGACCTCTGAATTCCTTTTTGTCCCTCCTCAAGAGACCAGGATGGATCCTAACATGCTACACTAAAAAACAGAGACATCTATTAACTTCTGGGAAGAAGTTATAATTTGGCAGAGATGAAGGAGGAGTTGAAGTGTGAGAGAGCCCCAACACTGAGTGTGGTAGAGCCAACAGGAAAGAGGAGACAGCAATGAAAAGCACAGATTATGGATAAGAATAGTGTGACACAGTGTTGTCTTGACCTGTTTGACTTTGTCAAAAAAAAGGTCAAGTCAAAAGATCAGTCAAGAATGGTCAAGGGGGTCAAGGTCATGTTGAGTTGAACAGATCTACTGACAAAATGTAACTAGGTTAGAAGAATGGCACTTGCTACCTTTTACATGACATTGGATCATAGTAGTACTTTGTTTGTTCTTTGTTTATAACACATTGTGACCCCTCTTGATGTACTTACCTTTTTGACACTATGTACAATACATGTGGATTAGGTCACAAGCAATATATGGCCAGGTGACCTATTAGCTCCCCTTTGGGATACGAGAGCCCTAGGCCAGGTGACAGCATCCCCACTCTGGGGTCACAGGATAACTTAAGTGCCATTCAGCACAGCACAAAGGTGCTGTCAACACTCAACAACATACCTTGCCTTTTTATCACCACCATCTCTCAACCATGAGCTCATTGACAAGATGACCATGAATGCTCAGTTTCACACAATTACAGCATAATAAAGGAGTGTAGGCCATTTATGAGCATCAAATACATGGATTTTATGCATTTTCATGTCCATTGTGGTTTGTCTTGGTGAAGCCATAGACTTGACATTTGATGATGGTAAAGCCATGAGTTGTTGTCACAGTGTTTATATGTTCCTATTGTCCATGTGGTTGTTCATGTGGCCTTGACATAATATTAGAAATCTATTTCCTCCTGCAATAATTGAAAGGAGTGAGGGGCTAAGCACAGCAGCACCCCACTATTATAAATGGAATCAGAATCAACATACATAGAATAGAACCTTGCCAGCAGTTGGAAATGGGCTGTAGCAGGCCATGGGGCTTGCCACCCTATGTCTTTAGAGAAAGGAGAAAAAAGGGTTAACACATTTGGAGAGTGCCCATCAAAGATTCTTTTTTGAGATGGGCAACTTACCTTCACAAGTCATGCAAGTCAGATGTGCAACCATTAGACATTTTTGCAACAGGCAGATATTGGAATGATAGGGGCTCAATAGTAGTCTGCAGCCTCATTATCCATTACAATCCTCATTCTCCACTCCCCTGGGTCATCCCCATCTGGCTCCTCATCTGCCCAGAGGATATCTGGATCTTTATCTCCCAGAATCCCAACAACAGCAATAGTAGAAGAAGCTGGTGTCCCATTGCTGCTGCCCCCAGTGCTATCGACGATATTTCCACCATTGACCGCAGTAGAAGCATTGGGATCGGATGAAGTCGCAAGGGTATCAATGTCCACTTCTTCTTCCTCCGCTTTCATTTTGCGTTCAAACAGAATCTCTTCATCTTCCTGCATCCCACCTGTAAGTTGACTCGAAGGGAAAGAGGGGGGAAATGGAAACATACTATGTCAAATTCATCCTCTCGTTCATCGTACTCTACATTCTCGTCCACTTCTTCAAATCCACCCGCAAACGCACCCCACCTTTCAGGATTCGGACAATGCCAGATGAGGATACTTCCCTGATTTGTCGTTGAAGCTATGCACGATTTCTTAGGATGCCACTGATCAATGTTTATCAGCGTATCAGAAGAGTAGACTAGTTGTTTTGAACTTACGTGAAGATGGAGAAGCGGTTCTCGGCCGCCATCCAACGCACTCGCAAACTGGCCATCATTGGAGATGTCCCAAATATAGACTTTGTGTGCCGCCGGGTCAGCTGCACCTAACAGATGGAGTCAGGGATCTGATTAAACCGAGAAATGTGGATCGGAAGAGACCTCCTGCTAACCACTCCCCATCAGGACTGTACGACATAGCATGCCAGGCTGTTTTGTTGATGGGGTCATTGAATCGATGCGTGGGCTCAAGTTCCTGGTCCAGTAACCCATTTTCTTCGCAACCTGCGTAGGATGGAAGTATAAACTGGCGCAGCGTTCTGTCCGACGAGTTTGTCACCAGACGACTGTACACCAAAAGATATGAGTGAAATTGGTTGTTTCGCGACGGGGATAACGGCAAGCAGGATAGGTTTGAAAGCGGCAAGGATTGGTGGAAAAAGCGGAGAGCAATCAGATGTGCGCTGGGTCCGAGTGAGGAATAACCGTCTTCACCGTCCGGATTTAGCAAAATCAAGGCCTTTCATTATGCCTGCACCCGATATCTTGTGACGTGCTATCATCTGCACAAAAGGCCGGCTAATCAGCTATAAGTAATTTCATATAAGTTGACGACTGACCGCCTTCGTGCGAGAATTGAACACGAGCAATGAGCCCGCAGTTGTTCCAATGAAAATGTATTTGCCAGAAGGCTCAAAGCGCGCCACCGTCATGAAGGACCTAGCGACAATCAAGGTGGGCGGTACCAAAGAAACAGAATGGAAGAACCTACCTCGTACGCGACGACTGTCCCTGTTCATCGTCACTCTCTTCCATAAGCTCGACCAATTCAATCCGCGAGCGCTCCGTTTTCCTCAAATCACAAAGGTATGCTTCACCCGTCGAAAGCAATGCTAGGACAATTTGGCTGGTAGGGACTGAGGTAAGTCTAAAAAAACATATCAGCCAGAGCGAAACAGCCGACCTATTTCTTGGGTGGAATGATGCTGAGATGACCGGAGCATCAAAGCGAATTGTGCAATGTCGCTGTGGGGGATCACAAGCAGAGGCGAGGTCCCAAACAACTACATTCCAATCCTTGGACGAAGTCAAGATATATCGGGAGTTCCGAGACCAACTGCGTCAGAAGAACCAGTTGGCCAAAGGCCCGTACACAAGCCATCAGAACAAGGGTACGCACTCGATACTGGTAACTCCTCTGACATGTCCATCTAACCACCGAATGGGAGCACGGGTCTCAAGGTCCCAAATCTCCGCAGAGCCAATCGCACGCCCGGCTGCGATGAACCTCCCTGTTGTATCAAAGCGCGCGATTTGTGCCCCAGCAAAAAGCGAAGTTTGAACAGTCGTGGGATGAGAGAGGTTGAAGGGATCTAGATGTGGTGAGTGAAAATTCGTCAGACAGAAGAAGAGGTCATACTTATGAGAGATTCATTCATGAGGAGCTGTATGGACCGGTATTGACAGCGTAAGTAAAGCTCGACAGTGCGGTGTCTGTCGGCTTGAAAACAATGTTTGAAACTTGACTGGACTGCCTATGTAGGTGGTTTGCGTTTGTTTGTATGCAAACACCTTTAGAATAGGAGTTACAGACCAATTACAGACTGTCTCCCAACTGTCTCCCACCGTGTCTCAATCCAAAACCACTCACTTGAAAGAAGAAACCACTGTGTCCTATAAAGCTGTCTCTTCTTCATTTCGAGATCGACGCGCATATTCGGCAGTCTCCCATCTCTCAGAACGAACACAAACCTAGGCAAAGAGTCTTGTTTAACCCCAGCTTTGGTTCTGGTTTGAACGAGGACGCCACGACTCTTACTGATGCAAGTTGCCCCGAGTTCGATTTTTGGAATGATGTTCATTGGGCTAACGTGGATGTCATCGCGGCCATCTCTGACCTTGGAAAAAACGTCTGCATTCGAATGCCTTTTATTCTAGAGGATGTACTTCTGTCCAAGCATTTCAATCTGAAGGCATTGTTCTTTTCTTTCAATGATGATAACACATCGCACGACGCCGAGCTTGTGAAAAAAACCAAAAACACGTCTTGCGATCTATATCTTCCAAAACCTATGAGGTACCTCGACGGCTTAGATTTCATCTTTGAGGAACACGCCCACCTCATCCCGAATACTCTTCCAAGCGTTGTCGTATCTTGACGAGGAAATGAATGCTTTGATTTTTGTTCATTTCTGCAAGAAATATTCTGTCTCCGACAATATCCACATCGTTGCTTCTGCTCGTATATCACGACTTGAAAAAAAAAAGAACTTTCTTAGGATCCTGCTCAGTGCTGGCATCAAATTTTGAATTGACAAATACGATAATGTGGAGTACTAGCCAGTCCGCGCCTGTTTGGTGCGATTCTTGCTCTCTTCGTGCACAAGGACGGCCTCAAAAGTCCATTGGTAAGTGGGCGGCATGGCGCACCAACACAAGCCAGGAAGAAAGCTTGTAAAGGCGACCGCGCATGGCAGGCGCAAGGAAACGTACCTGGATAAAAGATGCCTACATTCAATATATAGATCAGTTTACTTGAGAAACATTTTCAAGAGATATCCACTCACTAGGGTGAAGCTATCATGCCAACATCCAATATCTATTGAGTTAAATGTTTGAATGACTAATGAGATACATTGAACCATATATAATTATAAAACGTTAACCTCGATGGTCATTGACCAAACCTTATAACTTCCTTGAATCATCCATGCCAATCACAGATAACAAGAGTATCCAAAGCCTCATCGACACGCTCCGAATACCCCCTGATTTCGCGAGGTATGAGAATCTAGAGCGAGGTGCCCAATCTTCTTTGGACGACTGGAAACGCAACGCGCCGAACGTGCTTTCTGAGATCAGAAACCTCTTACTTCGAACACGAACACAAGGCGACGGTGAAGATCACAGACTGGGCGATGAAGGAATTCAACGCAACAACGAGGGAACACCTCCGTTGAAGGACTTGGGAGACATCATCTTCGCCGTCGCCCCTTTCACTGCAGCCAAATCTGAACGCGACGATGGGGAATACCCATGGGTGACACTACCGTCCGCTGAGGTAGCTCAAGGTACGCGTCACTCTTTTCTACCGTCTCAAATTTCAAATCTTCACAGACTACCCAACCAACAGACATTCTCTCGACCGCACCCCAATTCACGCACCCAACCAAAAGCCTTCTGGTCCAAATCCTAACGCACAACATTAAACCCGTCTTCCAATCCAATCCCCACCCATCGTTGAACCTTGAAACGGGGCGAAAGCTTCCCCGACCGGCGGGGGGCCCAATGGCTTCGCAGGACTATTACTTTGGGCAGGATTGGAAGAACTCACCTGGAGCCGCGACTGTTGTCCTTTGGTGTGTATCAAATATTCAAGTAAGCAGTCAGCCTAATTTTTGTGGTGATAAAGCTGAGAGTGATCCCAGACAAATTGGTATGAGGAGATGTGGCCCCTCGTTATACCACCTGTTATGACTCTGCTGGATGACTACGAAGCGAAGTATAAGCTGTGGGGTGTTCGTATCACTCTGGAAATGTTGAAGCATGTGCCGAAGGACCTGCTACGGCGGACTGGTGTGGATGGGCTGCTGCGTTCAGTGAGTCTTTCCTTCGTTTCGCTTCATACCAGCCGCAAAAGCTCATATCGCTGGTTAGTCGTTGAAAACATGTTTAGCGCACCTCCAGAATCCAGAAACGGGGCCCCTGCTACGCGCCGCCATCTCTGCGTGGCTCGAATTGGTGATGATGACCACTCAGTTTGGATCGGAGCAGCGATTTAACGAGCTCTGTGCGCTCCTTGGGGATGGCATAATGGAAGATGTGTGGCTCTACTCTCAAGATAAACCAGACGCTGTGCTGGCGACATTGGAGGCTCTACCACCTGTTGTGCAGGCGTTAGGTGTTGGATGTGCGAGGTACTTGAAGGTGACTTTGGAGTTGACGTTGCTCAAAATCCAGATTGACGTTTGGTGACGCAGGATTTAATTCCACAGCTAGTTCACCCGCTCATACCCAAACTTCTCGTTGAGCCACAGCTCGATATGCAGTTGGCTTCCTTGGGCGTCTTGCAAGCCGTCATGGAGGCTTGCCCGCCTCGAATGCATAGGTGGAAGGGGACCATACTCAATGGGATCTGCAGGTGTTGGGTCGTCATGATTGTTGATCGAGGTAAGCACGGGGCCGGATGAACAGCATCATTTATGTTAAAGTGTTCTTCCATCTTGCCTCAACAGATGTTCCCGATCAGGCGTTGAAGCGGGAGCTGCAGAGCGCGTGTAAGATATTAGCCGAGGTTTGCCCGTCGGTTGTTGAGGTAAGCCGCTGCACCTCGGCGCGGAATTTTATTCTCAATGTGTTCTGTTCAACGTACAGGAGTACCAAAAACTTGTTGCAGTCGATAAAAAAATGTTCGGGGACCTTCTTACCCGCGTACCGGTGAGCCAGTGACCGCCCAACATCTCGATCGTGCACGTTCGCGAAGATGTTAAAGTTCTTACTTCTGGCGGTCTCCACCTGGCTGGGAGCACCAGGCCAGCCTTTATACGGAAATAGTAAGCTTTTCCACATGGGAAGAAGGGGACGTGTAATGTGGGGTTGCTTCTTGAGGGCCCCGGCTCAATGCCTCGAAGAGAGAACGCCCCTGCTGTTGTCAGTCCGCACTGAGTGGCATTCGACAAGCCTTGTACTTAATGGGATGCTGGCTTCGCGAGTTGTTCTATTGTTGCCGGTTGTTCCTCTTCATTGTTGCCGATATCATGCCGCACATTGCTTCATTCATAAATCTGCATTCTTGTGTATCTTATCGGAATGATATCTGGTGAAAATGTACCGGGACTCGAAAGTGAGAGATTATATGAAATGTCAATGCGCACGAGCGAGTTGCTGCGAGGCATCGGGCAGACGGAGGCGGTTGTGTAGAGATAGTCAGACGGATGTCGGGCCGGTCGGCGTTGCAACTTTAGGCAAGTGCAAGTCCTTTACGGCGAGCTTCTACCTCCTTTTCTGCCAAAACTCACGTGTTTGCGAGCCTACAATTCATGGCCGAGTCCAGGATCATACAAGTGTGAGTCTCCTCATACCACTTCCTTCCCCCCAATGAGCATCTCCGTCGACGACCTCGTGTCCTCCCTGTCCTCCAGCCATATTGGCGAGGAAGCAACAGACCTGGCCATCCTCCAGGTTCGCGGTGTCCTTACACAAAGAGCATTAATTAACCCTTTTTCCCGTAGGCACAACTCGCCCAGGTCTTATTCGAACAGTCTATAGTAGGCGCAAATGCTCAGCAAGTACCTCAAGGGTACACCCAGCCATCTAGTACTCCAACAGGGCGCACTCCATGTAGCTGGGGACAGGATCGCCAGTACTGGAGGCCCACCGACGGGGATGATTCTGAGGACGAACAAATCGTAGAAGACCTGCTTATGCCCTCATCTCCTGGCTCTACTTCGCAGTTCTCCACCTTATCACAGCAGCACCCCCCCTCAGCCGCATATGGGTATTCTACGTACTCCTCTACATCATCTTACAACCCGGAGCAAGCCCGGGAAGCTTCCCCGTCAGCGTCTATCTTCACCTCCACTGATCCATTCTACATGGCACAAGTGCAGGCTTCGCAGACTTTCACGACGTCACCACAGTCCGTGTTTTCTCAAGGCGGTCGCCCAGCTCAGTCGTCGCCGTTCATGGTGAAACATCACCCTCAAACACAGGTATATCATGCACCTCCGCAATTCCGCGAAGTTCACGGCCTGACACATTCAAATTCTCCGGCACTCTCGTTAGACGCCAACCATGTTTTCGCTGCGACTGCATATTAAGTCACGGAACTAATAGCAGACGAGCTAGATCTGCGAATACCATCTTGGATCATTCCAATCCCAGAGTCGTGTTTTTCCACCCCATTTACGTCCCGATCTACAGTTGTCCCCTTAACCGGGCCAAAGCGCCTGGTAACGCACCCTTTTTAATCGAATGGCGTCTCAACAGAACATCAAAGCATAGATAACAATGTTCCTCTCCATCTATCAAGATTGACAGCGACCCCGCGACTAGAGTTTCACCCCCGCGGCGTTCACCCATTTCCTCGCTTCCGCCTCTCCCTCCTGGTCATAACACAAGCATGATTCGGACTATCGAAATTGGAATCACCCTTCTCTCAGCGGCTTCCTCAGCTATTCTACTCTACCCCCTGTCTCTTCTCTTATCAATCGAGCACTCGATTTTTAAATCAACCTTCACCCTCGTGATTTGGCGACCTTGCCTCCAACCCCCCCTCATGACTCCCCACTGATACTCTAATAACAAATTCATTCCGGCTTTCATTTCCGCCGTGTAACTTCTTGCCCCGAGTCCTTACCCGTACTGGCACACGACAAGGTGTGCGGCACCGAGTGCGCTAGTTTGAGTTTACGGTTTCCTTATCTCCGGGCCGAGCGTATGACAGCAGGATGGCACGGCGCCTACACCCCACCCCCACCTCCACCGTTTTCATTCCGTCCACGTTTGGGTTCTGCACTGCCAACGTGTATACCATGCTGCTGTTCATCTTACGTTTTTTTTTTCGACCCAGTCGATCGAGCTTCATCTAGAGCTGTGGCTTGACGTGTCCCGCCCTGCCCAGTGCCGAACGCTTTAGATATGTATGTTGTACAACCGATCACAGTTCACGCCACCATCTCTCCGTCGAGTTCCAACCCAATTCCAACCCCTCTACCAATTCAATAACATTCATCAATCAACTACTTACGGTCTCCTGGGCCCGTGTGATCCCCCTTCCTCTCTCAATTCATTTCCACTCCCACGCGGCGATCCCAACATTTACACACCCATATCAGTTACCCATTCGTTCATCTAGACATGTTTGTAAACCTTGACTCAAGTATGTAACCTACCAATTGCGATAATTTTGGTTCTGCTTCCTGTCATGATCAACGGTTCTCAGATTTTTTTGTTTGGGCTCAGTCCTCGAATGACAGAAGCTGGCTATGTGGAATTGACCTGTCGACTTAGCTCTGGCCAGGAGAGATGGTCAGAGCATTGAACCACAAAATACCCTACATGCTGCAACAAAGGAGTAGCCTGCTTCGGTTAATTCAAACACGTTATTAACCATTACCAGGGCGAGAGAGAAGAAGGAAACGACGTAGTCCCTGGATGCGTAAATGTAGATGGGTATCGATGGAAAAGGGTAATGGACACCGAACTATACACACGACAGCGCGGATGGGCTCAGATAGCATTAGAAGAGGTCTTCGAGCGTCAGATGTCCTGTGAAGGAAAATATAAATTGGCGTTCGGGCGCAGTAGTTGCTGTACGATGGGAGAACATACTGTATCAAAAACTGTCAAGGCAAACTCTTCGTCATCTAGTTTTCCATCACCGTCAAGGTCCTACGATTTGTTGTAGAAGGCACCCACTCCTCGTCGAAGATCGCTATCCTCCGTGACGCTGTTGCGGTATTCGCCGTGGTCACGTCGGCGCTCGAAGAATCCTTGTCATCCTTGGTCTTCGGTACGGGCGGGACGAGGGTAACAAACGACACCTTTACATTGTCCCATTGCACGTAGATGAGGCCTGTGACCTTCTCATACTGGAAAACTTGGGTTTTGTGTGCCTTGGCGCCGTTGAAGTCGAAGCAGGGTTCTACCGTCAACGGCCCACCGGTATGCGCTGGGTCAGCATCGGCGGTAACGCAGCGCGGGGTCATGAAGGGTCCTTCTACTAGGAGAGTGACTGCTGCCACCGACCTGTCAAGCACATATGGAACTTGGGGCTGAGTTGACAGAGCCATGAATATTGGTGTCCCGCTCGTGTGCGATTCGTCCAGAGTCAAGGTATGGCTGTTGAGAACGAGGGAAGTAGTAGAGCCATCCACCAAGCTCTGAAGATGTCCGGTCAGCCATAGAATCGAATCATCAAATAGATGACGATGACTTACTGTGAGTTGAATCGTTCCCAGCACCCCTTGGAGTTGCCCGTTTCTCTTGTCGTCTTTTTCGAACATCTGCCTCTTGCCTCCGCGTGAATTGTTTACATAATCACCACTGAGTACAAGATTTAAACGTTCGGACTTGACGACGCCGGCGGCTAGGGCGGACGCGGTTAAGATGATGACGGCGACGAAAGTGCAGAAGGCGGCGAGCATGGCGAGCTGGGGAGTACTGGTACCGGTAAAGGCGAGCAAGTTGACGTGAAGGATAGTAATTGGCTCAAGAGTTCAGGCATTTGTAGGATTTTCTGGTGGCTAACACGCAAGTCAGAGTGATCTTCTGAGACTTGTCCTCTACAAATCACACATACAAATAAACCTAATTAATCTTCGAAATAATCGCCACATCTTGAAATGACCCCAGCCAATGAGCGCGCCGTTCTTGCTCGAATGACAGATGCTAGTTATGTGCAATGAGCCTGTACGACTTAATTCTGGCCAGGAGAGATGGGCCGAGGACTGAGCCACAACTTGAAAATACCCTACATACTTACTGCAAGAAAGGTGTGCACTCTGCAAGGTAGCAGAGTAGCCTGATCTGTACTCAGCCAAAATTATCGGGCTGGGGTTAGTTCAAACATGTTATTAATCATTACCCAGGGATTGAGAGAAGTTAGAGGAAAGAAGGAGAAGGAAAATAGTCCCTGGATGAGTATCTGTACAATAATTACAATCAAAGAGCAGCGATCCGATAGCCTCGACGTGGAAAAACGGCAAAGATGGAGATGGGAAGGGGGGGACCGTGTATGAGCGTATAAGATGGGTATGGATGGAGGTAAGGGTAATGGACACCGAACTATGCACACGACCGAGCGGGTGATGGGCTCGGATGGGATTAGAAGAGGTCTTCGAGTGTCATTTGTTTGACGATGTCCTGTGAAGGAATATGAATTGGCCTTTGAAGGCAGTAGTAGCTGGACGATGGGAGAACATACCGTATTGGAAACTGTCAAGGCAAACTCTTCGAAGCTTAGTTTTCCGTCGCCGTCAAGGTCGGCTTCCATGATCGTCTTGTCGACGATTTGTTGTAGTTGTTGGTCCTGCAGAGATAATGTTTAGTAGAGAAAGAGACAGGGAAAGAGGAGAAGGGGGTACTTTAAGATTGTTTCCAACCATCATTTTTAGGACTAGAAAGAGCTCTCCGTTTGAAATGAACCCGTCCCGATCGACATCGTATACCTTGAACGCGACTAGAGGGCGTATGATTAGGGGGATGTAGGAAAAGAAAAGGAACGAACATTTCAATTTTTCTTCCCGCCCTCCACGACTGCTAAACGCGCTTAGGCCACCGACAAACTCTTGAAAGTCGACTGTACCACCACCACTAATCGAAGGGTAGGGGGTTAACGAAAGAAACTACGCTCGAGAGGCACGCACTCCTCGTCAAAGATCGCTATCATCCGTGACGCGAGGGGGTTTGTTGCGATTTGTGGTATTTGCAGAAACTCTTCGCGATCTATGGATCCCGAGCCGTCGCTGTGGGGGCATGCACATCCATGTAAGGGGACGCATGATGATTAAAAAGGGCAGGCAAAGCCGACCTGTCAAGTTTCATGAATCGTTTCTTTAGCCGCTCCAACTCTGGCTGGGTGACTGTTGGAAATCGTTCATGTTGCGTTGGAGAGATAAGTCAAAGGCGATGCATGCGTACAGTTGGACTTCTTCTCCATGTCCTCCATAAATTGGGACGCTGGGTAGGCATTATTAGATCATGCCTTCGTTGGTGTATGAAAGGACTGACGTGATTGACCCATCGTGAACTATCTTTTGTCGTTATATCGAGGGATGAGGAGAAGGGAGCGAGAGCTGTCGAAATGTAAGATTAGATACAAAGAGTCGTGGGAACACATTGAGGGCGCTCATAGTGAACAACAGCGACCACCGTATATTATATGTGGCGGTCCCTATGCTCCTGGACCCACATTAGCCGTCGCCCAGCGAGCCTTGGCCTTGGGCGAGGCACGTACAGTGCCTTTCGTCGATCACAACAGCATCGCAACTCCTCTTGCACACCCCTTCCCCGTAACTACTCATCCGCGCAAGGAAAAGTCCATTCCGCCATACAAGATCTGACAGCTTCGGACGCACAGCGCCGAACTATTTATGCCCTCTCCACACCCCCAGGCAAGGCTGGTGTCGCGGTGATACGAGTCTCAGGGCCCGAGGCGCTCGACGTGTGGAGGCGCGTGATCCAGCCAACGTGCAAACGGAAGGCTTTGGCAGACTACATTCCAACTCCATGGAAAATGGAACGATGTCGGGTGGTACATCCAGAGACGCAGGAGATGCTGGATGATGGGTTGGCGGTATACTTCCGGGGTATGTTCGTTCATTTTATCGTTTACCGTTGTATTTGACATCTTCCTTGCACAGCACCGCACTCGTTCACTACTGAAGATGTTGTTGAATTGCACATTCATTCAGGCCGTGCAATAGTCGCCTCTGTACTTGGCTCGCTTGCCTTGCTTCCCTCGTGCCGACCGGCTGAGCCAGGGGAGTTCACTCGACGCGCCTTCCTTGGCGGTCGACTTGATCTGACGCAAGTGGAAGGGTTGAAGGACCTTATTGACGCAGAGACTGATGCGCAGCGACGTATCGCGTTGCAGGCTGCTGGGGTGGGTGAGATTGTTTTCCACGTCGGTTTGATGACTCTCTAACCATCACCTCTGTCAGGGCGCCTCTCGCGCAAAGTTCGACGAGCTTCGGAAGGGGATCATCAATTGTCTAGCTCAAATAGAGGCTTTGATCGATTTTGGAGAGGGAGAAGACATTGAAGAGGGCGTCTATGACGAAGGTAAGCATTCCAACACTGTAGATCTTTTGGTCAGTGAATGAATGACTTTGAAGCTAGAATCCAAGGCAAAGTACTTCTGGACACTATGAAGTTGTATCTAAACGACCACCGTCGTGGGGAACTCATGCGCTCTGGTTTAAGACTAGCGATATTCGGTCCTCCGAACGCTGGAAAAAGCAGTCTGCTGAATTTCCTGGGCAAGCTCCGTTCTTCTCGTATCATTTCGTTGTGCTGAATGAACGTTGGTTTATCCAGCTCAGCGAGAAGCTGCCATCGTGACATCAATCCCTGGAACGACGCGTGATATCCTCGAGCTCTCTCTTGACATCGGAGGGTTGCCCGTCATCGTCGCAGACACAGCAGGTCTCCGGCATACCGAAGACGTGGTTGAAAGCATCGGCGTTGAAAGGGCCAGAAACGCGTAGGGATTCATCGACAACTCACATTCTATCACTAACGTCGTTCTTCACTTTACAGCGTAAAGGCTACGGATATTGCCCTCTGCGTTCTCTCCCTACCCGAGACTCTCGATTCTCAATCTGGAATGAAGGAGAGTATACATTCATTACGCGACCTCATAAGCCCAGAAACCTTCTTCCTCTTCAACAAATCCGATCTGCTTGGTCAAAGCTCGCGCGGATTACCAGACCCGGAGGATTTGAGAGACAACCTTTTAGGAAACCAGCATCACAATTCAAAAAGTGGCCAACGAGCATGGGTGGCGAGTCTGAGCACTGGTGCTGGGACAGAGGCGTTTTTGGACGGGTTCGCGGACGCACTGAAAGCTCGGTGAGGTCTGTTGTCTTTTCTTTTATTACATTCCCTTACGGATGTGCACTAGGTTTCATCTAAAAGACAACTGGACACCATCCCAAACCCCCCTGATCACTCGTGCGCGACATCGCACGCATCTAGAAAGCGCATGTCAATTCTTGGAGGCGTTCTTAGAGCTACGTGAGTGTATTTGTTGTGTTGCATTCATTTTTGGTCATTTAAATTTGCTCGTAGCGCCGGAAGATGTGGTGCTGGCTGCAGAGGAGCTGCGATATGCTGCTGTTGCAGTGGGGAAGGTAACGGGGCATATTGACGTTGAGGATATTTTGGATGCGGTGTTTCGGGATTTTTGTATTGGGAAGTGAGGGATGGGTTCGTAGTACCAGGTTGCTCAACTACATATACACCAACTTTAGACCCATGCCTATGGCACGGTGCTCGCTGGCGCTCGGCTGTTCGATGATTAATTTCTAGTATAGCAGTAATTTACACCCCGTACATAGGGATTCGGATGAAACACGTGGTTATTTTCGAATTCCTTCTTCAACCCTTCGCCATCGACCTGCAACTTTACCGTCCGAAGGCAGCACTAACTTCAAGCGATTGAATATGTTGAACTCAAGTTGAACCCTGCTGTGTCTAGCTTGTGTTTTTCGTTGACTCATGTCTCAACTACGGACACCGAAATTCGCCCCTCAGATTCAACACCACGGGTTCTATCCTAGTCTTTGGACATTTGGACTAAGTATGCACGGTCATCAAATTGGATCACCTGAACTACACCGTCGACGTATGCAACTACGTGCGGCTCAGCATCCCCAAGAATCCCATCGAGGAAGGCGCGCCGTCTGAGCAATGTGGCGAGGAAGTTATCTTTGGGTTTGTCCGGAGAGTGATAATAGGCTCTTTCAGCCTTCTGGGCGAAGTCGGACCTATCGACCCAGTCAACCCTGTTCTGGATATCTACCCCCACGTTGTCCTGGACGAGCAGGAAGGATTCCGGACTCGCGACGGTCTCGCCGAGGAATCGCTTATTCCAATTCCAACGCTCTCTGCATCATTTCAAGAACCTACTCCTGAGCTGTTTGGAGCGCCCCTCAAACTCGGCGGATGGAAATGTGGAAGAACGTCGTGGCTGAATGTTGTACCTGTAAGAATCAAAATGCCCCAGGGCAGTAGTGTGAGTCGCCTCCAGAATGTCTTATTTCGTTTAATTCGGTCTGACTGCCTTGAAGTATAGGAATTTTGACCCTCCTATCAAAATATCTAGCGATGAACTTGAACAGATAGACGCCTACCGGCGCTCTATTCTCGCCCTGCAGACCTTAGGTTTCGATGATCCCGATACATTGGCCGCCGATGAGCTTCTACGAACGACCCCCTAAAATGGAAATCTATGATGGTTCTGATTCTTCATACTGAAGTGCGGGCTCACTGAAGGAAGAACTGGCGCTGTTGGCCTATTACAGTGCACCACTCCTAGGACGGATGTGGGCGAAGCAGTTGGACGCGGTCTTGAAGCAGGAGGCAGAAGAAAGGACGGTCCTTCGCAATGAGAAGTTAGATGCCTGGTTCAAGGGATTGCCCAGTCCACCAGTTTGAAGGAAAGATGACTTTTGCGATTTGTGTACCAGTAGTGATTTAGATGTGATTCACAAGACAGCGGTGATCGCTCCTGCAGCAATGTTCACTCGAGACAATGGCCAATGCTAGTTTCGAAGATTAAATCAATGTATGGGCGTCTGTGAGGGTGAGTGCCCAGATGTTGTGAAGACCCTGGAATGGTATGGGGAGAAGACAAACGCAGGTCGAGGGGTGGATAGCATCACTTTCTTGAAGATGAATGTACCTGGAAAGGTCGGCACGAGCGCCGACGCTTGGAATTTCGCAGAAGGTTCCTCCGCTCTGAGAGACAATATTTGAGAAGACGACGCGACGTCCGCAGAAAATTGGGGGACCTAGCCATGTCAATACGGAATCTTTCGCAAGTATCTCCATTTCTGTTCCATGTATGGCTTTCTACCCTTCACTACCGTAGAGAGCCGTTCGCAGATAAAGAGGCAGTATGAACAGACGGGGCGCACGTTGGCTGTGGAGGAGGGTCGTGCAGGGTAGCGACTTTGAGGGGCATGTACAAATTTGGTTCCCACAATCCGTTGCTCTCATTTTCTCCTTCGTCAGAGACAGGTGAGAGGTGCCGGTGAGCTCGCTTTACTCCTCCACGACCTTGTCTCAGGTGTATTAACCGTTATATTCCTCTAGTAATCTGTGCTGAGGTTCAAGTCGAACATGGACGCGCTATTTCTCCCACTGGCCAACGCACTTGGTGCCAGCGTTGACCAAATTAAGGTTCTTTTGACAACTTGTGGTACGATAACGCGCACTGACACGTCCGCCAGCTCATTTCATGTCTGCTCATCGCATACCCGCTGGGAAGTCTCTTCGTACGCGTGCCGACGTCGCAGCCTGCGCTTCGTCACCTCTTCAGTGTCGTTGTCGCGGTGTTCTTCTTCTTCCCGATGCTCCAGATATATTCCGCCTTCTTTCAGCTTTTAGGAAGCATTCTGGCAACATACCTCATTGCCAAATATGATAAAAGCAGCAGGATGCCTTGGATTGTCTTTGTGTACGTGGTTTTGTTGTGGTCTTTCTGATTGTTGGTCTTAATCCGATCTTTTAGCGTCGTAATGGGGCATTTGACGGTCAAGTAAGTCTGCCGTCTATATCAACTAGCTCTATACCAATTACTATCTGCAGTCATGTCATTCGTGCTGTGTACGGATTTAGTTACGAGACCATGGAAGTTACGGGCCCCCAGATGGTCCTGACTATGAAACTGACGACTTTCGCATGGAACGTGTGGGATGGAAGGCGCAAGTCTGAGGTCCATGTCTTCCACTCTTCCACCCACCTTATTGCTTACCCTCCCAATATGCAGGACTTGGACAAATGGCAATCCGCAAAGAAAATCACGACATTCCCTTGCCTTCTCGAGTTCCTTGGATACTCGTAAGACTTCCCCTCTCTCCTGCAAGTAACCTCTCACCATCCAACAGGTTCTACTTTCCGGGAATCCTTGTTGGTCCCTACCTCGATTTCGCCGAATACATGGACCTCATAAACGAAACTGTATTCCAAGCTGAGCATGTGAAATCAAAAACCAAAGCCGGACGCCGCCTACCATCAGGCAGGAAACGTACAGCCTACACCAAGATGTTGATGGGACTTATATATCTCGGCTTATTCGTGGTGTTGGGAGGAACATATAATTTTGCCGCGGCACTCACGCCTTCTTTTGCCAAAAAGAGTCTCCTCACAAGGTCTGTGTCGCTAGTCTTCCCTACTAATTACATTTGGCTGACGGACGGTGTAGGATCGTTCTCTTCCAAGCATTTGGACCTGTAGAACGCGCTAAATACTATGCCATTTGGACTCTCACAGAGGTACCAGCCCACCTTCTATTTTCGCCTCGTCAACTAACGCCTCTCTTTAGGGCGCCTCGATTCTCACTGGCTTAGGTTTCACTGGTTTTGGCCCGCATGGCGCAGCTCACTGGGACGGTGCCGCTAACGTCAAAGTGCTGCAAATTGAATTCCCTTCCAACTTCAAAGTTCTCCTGGATTCGTGGAATATGAAAACAAACGTCTGGTTACGAGAGTGTGTTTATAAGCGTGTGACCCCCAAGGGCAAGAAGCCAGGCTTCAGGAGCAGCATGATTACATTCGCTACCAGTGCTTTCTGGGTGAGATTCAATAACATCACTTACCGCTCACTAAGTGCTCAATAACTTGCATAGCACGGGATCGCAAGCGGATACTACCTTACTTTCCTCATGGGCGGTTTCATCACTACCGTCGCCCGTTTGGTGAGAACCAGCATTCGACCGCTTCTTCTCCCCCCTCCCTCTGCGCCAGCGCACACCCCTCCCTCATTCGCGAAAAGTATCTACGACATCGTGGGCACCGCAACATCCATCCTCATCCTCAACTACGCTGCGTCCCCCTTTATCATCTTGACATTCAAGGACTCTGTGAAGGTTTGGGGCTTGCTGGGGTGGTATGGTCACATTTTGATTGGCGGCGCGCTGGTGTTCTTCTATGGCGGGGGCAGCGGATTCTTTAGAAGGCTGCAGAAGACGAAGGGGCTTTTGCCTCCTCCAAGGCCGGCAGCAAATGGAAACGTTACCGCAACGGGAACCCCGATTGCCGAGAAGAATTTCGTGTTGCCACCCTCGTTGGACAAGGTCGTTCCACCCAATGCTCAAAGTTAGATTCGTGGCGTTGGCCCAAAAAAAAAATGAGAAGTAGACTACATTGGAGAAGGACCCCATCGGGAGGATTCTCTGCCATGCAATATACCTGCATCACCTTTGCCCCGTTGTTTTGCTGCTTTGACTCGGAATATGTAGAGCTTGCTTGCTATTGCTAATCTAATAATACCCGTCGTTGCTTGGATTGAGAGATGTGTATGGGAACAATCAATTCGTCACGATTCACAAGTTGCTTCTAGTTTATCAAGTGGCCATCTCAATGGCTTTCCTTCTTCACCAATCCTTCAGCTTCACCACGTCCGAAGGCACTATCAAAACCAGGCTCAAACAATTGATTACGTTGAACCCAACTACTGGGAGGTCGACGACAGTAGGTTGTTGCCTCTTTCACGATCCCAACTCAGTCCGTCGACGATGAACCAGGCTGAACATCTCAAACGGTTTATCTGTGAGTCCAATGTGCTCTATCAAATGTTTGCCTGAGCCGACAATCAGGATGGGTTGCGAATGAAGCTCTGGTAATATGCGCTACGACCCACGAATTAACACTGGCACCTTGGGAATCGCAATCTCATCTGCCAGAATTTCTCTTTTCAGAGGACCGGTGGAGATCTCAACGCAGAATGTTCCACCGACATTCCCAACACTCCGTGGCTAACACCCACTGGCCGGTCCAGATACGCGAAGTCCACGCACTTCTGCTGCTGTTATTATGGGTGTTGTCTATGGTATAGCTTTGGTGCATCTCCAGCTCCAAATCAGCTCATGTATTCCCTGGGCCTGTTGATATCTCAGAAACCAGGCAATTCTTCTCTGCGGTTTGTCACGAACATGATTTTGAGTTGGAGGCTGAGCGCGATGTGGTCCAAGTGTCAGCGGTCACGTGGTTGCACTAATTCAAGTAAGTACCTTGACTCGGTCTCCCCGTCTCGACACCAGCCGCTACGGAATCCGAAATTCGTCGGGGTGAAAACGGCGCACCGCCCCTCAGATTCAAGACCGCTTCTATTCTAGTCTTCAGACAAGCCCTTGGACTATGGACGCTCATCAAATTGGACCCTCTGTTCCCATCGTCGATCACTTGAACTTTACTGCCAGGGCATGCAGCTACGTGCGGCTCAGCATCCCCAAGAATCCCATCGAAGGCGCGCCATCTGAGCAATGTGGCGAAAAAGTTATCTTCGGCTTTGTCCGCAGAACGGTCATAGGCTCAGTCAACCCTATGGAAGTCGGACTTATCGACACAGTCAATCCTATTCTGGATATTTACTGTCACGTTGTTCTGGGCGAGCAGGAAGGATTCCAGACTCGCGACGGTCTCCCAAAAGAATCCCTCATTCCAATTCCAACGCTCTCTGCATCGTCTCAAGAACCTACCCCTGAGCTGTTTGGAACCCCCCTCGAACTGGGCGGATGGAAATGCGGAAGAACGTCGTGGCTTAACGTCGTACCTGTAAAAATCAAGATGCCCCAGGGCAGTAGTGTTGAGTCGCCTCCAGGGTCCCCTGTTTCTTCATCTGGGTCTGACTGCTTGAAGTACAGGAATTTTGACCCTCCTATCAAAATATCTGTAGATGAACTTCGCCAGATAGACGCTTACCGGCGCTCTATTCCCGCCCTGCACACCTTAGGTTTTGATGATCCCGACACACTGGCTCTCAATGAGGTTAAACGAGCGATTACTATACCACTGTATGATGGTTCTGATTCTTCAGGCTCAACCGCGGACTCCCTAACTTTGAAGGAAGAGCTGGCCATGTTGGCCATGTACGGTCTACCATGCATTGGACGGATGTGGGCGAAGGAGTTGGACAAGGTTTTGAAGCGGGAGCAGGAAGAATTGGCGCTCATGCGCAATGAGAAGTTAGATGCCTGGTTCCAGGGATTGCCCAGTCCACCAGTCAGTCCACCAGTCTCATGGAATGGCGACCTTTGCCATTTGTGTACCAGTAGCGATCCTTAAGAGGATTGCTTTCACTACATAGAGACAATGTAGAGCGCATAGTATATTGTATAAGATGTGTACTCAGGACATCTGTAAAAAAAACTGCAATATCCAAGCAATATCTAAATTATTGGGCATCAGTTGGGCATCAGGGATGTCGATGATTAATGATTCTCTGCCACGGAATATAACTGCATCATCTTTCCCCCGTTGTTTTGCCGTTTTGACTCGGAATACTATGTAGAGAACTTGCTTGCTATTGCTAATCTAATCGTATTCATGGGAACGATCAATTGCGTCACGATTCACAAGTTGCTTGGTCAGTTGTGGTTTATCAAGTGGTTCCTTCTCCACCAATCCTCCACCATCGACCTACAACTTTACCGTTTGAAGGCACCATCGGAACCAACCTCAAGCGATTGAATACGTTGAACCCTACTACTGAATCATAAACGATGTCGACGACGGTAGGCTGTTGCCTCTTTCGAGATCCCAACTCATGATCATCCCCAACTATCCGTCAACGATGATCCAGGCTGAACAGAAATATAAATTCGACGTAAAGGTCAGATCACCCGTCGCGATCGGGTTTCTCGAATGCTAACCTTTCAGAACGGCTATAGATGACATGCGGTGGGTGCTCAGGAGCCGTTACCCGTGTACTCGAGAAGGCGAAAGCTGATGGTTCGTATTGGCGATGCGATGTTAATACATGCAATTATTTATTGGCATTGCTCGCAGGTGTTACGGATTTCAGCGTAGATCTCGCAAAGCAGGAAGGGGGATCCTCGAGTCGACCG